AAGTTTTCTTAGGAGGTTCCAGGCTTTTTGACTTGAGAAGGTGAAGTTGAGCTCGTTCATAACGGATCTCCATCTTTCTCTCCTTGTGAGGTCGAGTGATCTCAGGAGAGTGGTGGCTACGAATGGGTCCCGAGTATGGTGGAAAGTGTCTAGTAATTCCTGGTTTTCAGGGGTCCAGCCAGGGGTGTGCCATCGACGATATCCGCGGGGGATGGCCTTCTTGGCTGACAAGATCACAAGTTTGGAAAAACGACCGTAATTATCCGGAATGGGCGGGATTCTGTTGATGGTTTTATCGATCCGGTCGGAGTATAGGGTCCAGTCAGCTTTGCGAAAGTTCCATCGTAGTCTGGGAATTCCTTCAGTCGTTGGGATGGAGAGACCAATGCGGTATACAATTGGTCGGTGTTGAGAGTGAGGGAAATCGTCTAGAAGTGCCACAGCTACTGGGAGAGGGATATTGTCCTGATCGGAAGTGGAAAAACATAGATCTGGTTGATAGTCCTTTTTCCAAGCAGCTGAGTATGACTGCATAATTATGACCCCTTATGACTGCATACCAGAATATACCTAATTATTAATAGCATGGTTCCAAACTTTCGTCTCCCTGATTCCCTTGAGCGGAATAATTTCTTTGGGAAAGGTCCACCCCAAAAATATGTCCTTGGGGATGAATCCTAAAATAAGCTTTCCCCCTGAAATATGCATCTCAATAGGTACCGATTCACGTAGATTCAGCTTCTACCACTAGTAGCACATAACATTGAAACAATATTGACTCAATGTTCATTTAACATTTGGATGTTGAAGCGACGGTAAATCTATGTTGCTTCAATTGTATTTGCAACAGGGGATGTCTCACCATGTCATTGGAGCAAATAAAAATAATGGAGATGCGTCCAAAAACAGTACCAATCATCTGAGTTATTCGTGTAGGCCATGGTTTGGATGTTGAATTTTGAGTCGTGACCAAAAAAGTTAGCGAACCACTGGTGTAGACGTACCAAGTTCGAACGTTCAATCCCATCAAAACATGGTTAGATTTGAAGTCTGATTCACTCAATCACAACCAACCTATATTAGAAAATAGAGGAGAGATACAATACTTTGGGAACGGGTTATGTAATTCCTTTATATCAAAATGAAGTGTTTCAATCCTCTGTGAGACTTTAAAACAAGGGTGTCCGAAGAAAGGTGAAAGAGTCCGAGCATCAATCTTTCCTCACCTCTATTCGGACATCCACATTATAGGCAATTTTGGTTGTCATGAGGGTAGGAAGGACAACATCTTCATAGCACTCAGACTTCTAGTGTCCTTCTCCCAAGAGTAAAAATTAAGCTTCCAGCTTGCACCATTGAAATGGGACTAGCGAATGATGAGGCGCGGCCAGCTGAACTATCCGAATATTGCTTTTACCCAATCGAGTGTAATATAGGAAGAGATTATAATAAAGTAGTACATTTATATTCTTACATTTTTCTTCAAAAAATAAGTAACTACTACATTGGAGGTGTTTGACTATTGATAGAAGCCAGGGTCATTGGAGTTCTTGCAACGTATGCCTGAAAGTCATATGTAAAATGTTGGGGCCAGACTTCTGGGACATCTTGGATACACGTATATCGGCATCGTGTTCCAGGGCAGGCTGAAAAGAAATACCTGATATTGTATTCCAAGACTTTCTCGTGAGGTCACGGGATTTTCATGCGTGATAAACATACATGGTTCTCAGCTAATTTCATTTATGTGGTTCCAGCTTATAATCCCATTTCGAGGATCGAGCAAGGATTTTTCTCCAACTTGAAGAACATGGAGATATTTTATTGCCCATCCTGCAACCTCGGACCTACATTGCAGAGTGATTCTTTACGTTTTTCATCTCAAGATTTAAAAGAAGTTCAGCTGGAAAATAATTCCATTTCAATCCTGGAGCCGCGTGCAATCTCAGGTATACTCTCCATGACTTTGCCACATTTAATACTATTGGAAGTCAATATTCGTTCTTCGCTAATTATTTCAGATTAATGTCGAATTGCGGAATATATCCCCAGTTATATACCAACGTTTTTCCTGACTTGATTCCAGGCTTAACAGTTAATACGAAACTGAATTTATCGAGAAACAAAATCGAGGAACTGACGGAGGAGGTCTTCCTTCCCATGTTTGATGTCCTCTCGCAGGGGAATGGATCCATCGATCTTCGCGGTGAGTTTCGGGTTGCCGACAATGCTGTTAGATATGGGCATTCAGGTATCATTATCGGTGTTCTTATGTCTTCCAGAGAATCCCATTCGGTGTGACTGTAGCATGGCCTGGATAGTGCATAACCCGAGTTTCCTGGCTAGCGTATTGGGTGAATGTACAAATGGAACTGATTTGCAAGACCTGGATCCGACCTTATTTGAAGAATTCTGCAATCACACGGATCTACACTTGCAGCCAAATTCTACAGAATGGTGCATTTTGATTAGTTTCAATCAATAAATTCAGATCGGTTGAAAGCCAATGATAAATTATTCATATGTATGGACTTTTTAAAATTTAAGTGGACCACCTCACGCGATATTGATATTCTTGTCATGTTTAAATGCAGAAAATATCTGTCCTTGCGCTTTTAAAAAGAGCAAACCTAATTACAAGAAATATTCAATATTCAGTATCTGTATGTTGTTGTACCCTTCGAATTTTCCCTCACTAACTGACCTGGTGTCCATTTATTCTCATCGATAGCCAAACCCAGTAAACTTTGTGCTGTTAAACTTTTTGAAGATAAACATACAATTTTTTTAATTATTTTTTTAGGCTTTCACTGTTCATAGGTCTGGAACACGGGGTTTTAATGCACATCCCATTTATATATGTCTCATGACCAAATGACACTCGGATTATTGAGTTCATGTGGAGATGGAGTAGGTGTTTTTTTTTATTGACCATGTAGATAATATTACGAATTTAGTTCAGAGTTTTGCTACATGCACATGTTGGAGAATGGCAATGGTGCTTGGAACTCGCTTTTTCAGTTTTTATTTTCGATTATTTCATGACTAATGGAACGGAAGTGTAACACCGAGCTTTCTTGTTGCATTTCGGCATGTAGCGTTTTCCTGGCCCCGAACCTAGAAACACCAAATTTCATTTATATTGACTCTGTTGATGAACTCCAAGATGGTGGCCAGAATGGAGGGTTACCTACTAAGCAACGACCTCGAAAAAACGTGCCTTTTGAAGAAACTGCTAAAAATAAAATTCAGCTTCGGCTGATAATAATGAAACTTTCCTCATTAAAATTCTAGGTTAAAATCTATATGTATACCAATTTTTGAAGAGTTTCATTGAGCGATATTTGAATGGCACGCGCTTACTTTGGGAATTACTTCTGGGACACCCTGCACTTCCTATCTTGTATCACACCTCCTTCTCTACGACCAGGGCGCAAAACCCTTGTCCCGACTCCGTGGATATCTTTCCCTGCACCTGCAACCACGAGGAAAGCACCAACGCAACGGTCGTTGACTGTTCGAATGTGAGCTCAATTGACAAAGTCTCCAACATCTTTAACAAGGAGGTCTGGCCATCTACGGAACTCACGTAAGATGGTAAAAGCGAGACCGTAATCAACTTAGCATTACTCACGCGGACACGCGATCTTTCAGGATGTTGCTAAATATTTAATTTTTTTTGCATACGATGGGGGTATGAAACGTTTCCAATCTCGGACACCTCCAGTTTCGGTACATCATACTTACGTAATACATCGAAATGCATATGTAGGATAGGCAAGCATTAAGTATCGTGCATTCGCAGGTTCAACATGTGGGCAGCCACATTGAACGGAAGGTGAGAGCGCCCTTTCTCTTTGAAACAAAAAGCTTCATGCCCTGCATTACCCAACTGGATAACTGATTCAGCAGGATTCTAGAATCTCAGACTTTCTCACCAGAACAATTTGCTTTTCATTAAAAACCCGAACTAACTAACCTCAAAGAAGACAAAATAAGCGTATACCACTAATTGGTGTCTGGTCAATTCCCCGACGGTCATTTCCACAAATGGTTATTTCCCTAACGGTCAATTCCCTGATGAGACAGTTCCCCAATTATTTCACCATTCTGCAGGTAGTCCACTTCGGTAGGCATCCCAAACAGGAATTATTTATGTATTTTGAGAATTCAACACTCGCGAAGTGGATCGCGCATGACGTGTCTATTCAAGTACTTTTATATATTTTGCGCTGTATTTAACCTGAGAATCTCATCCTCTTATTGGCATGCAGGAGATTCAACCTGAGTTACAATGAGGGCATTCAAGAGCTGCCTGCAGGAGTATTCGGAGAAGTCTCATTCGAAGAACTATTCATTTACCGCACTTCCATTAACAGCGTCCATCCACATGCAATCCTACCCTTAAAAGATCGTCTTTTGGATCTGCAAGTGGGGTACGGCGTACTGGAGAGCTTCCCTTGGGACACCCTCCCCGAATTCAAGAAAATCTTTCGGATCTCCCTCCATAATAATGTGCTCAACGCTTGGCCATTGCTTCAAAGTGAAAGCTTGAAAATCATCATTCTAACTCGGAATAATATATCCTGTCTAGAGCCTGGGTTTCATCTCCCAAGCTTACGTGTTCTTGACTTGGGTGAGTTGCCTGAATTCATTGAAATCCAGAGCGTTATGGTAATGGTGTTTTGGTTTTTTAGTGATTAGGTTAAAACTACCCAAGTTCGGACAGTACCTAAGTTCCAACACTGCTGCAAACATTGTTACAAAACTAAGAATTCGCGGAGCCGCTTTCAGAAATGATTCTCCCTAACATGAGATGAACACGTTTCTGAGGGAAGGAAAAGCGGTGGTAATCTTTACGTTTCACGATTCCAAGGTATTTGGCTTAAGTTAATGTTATATCGCGAACAGGAGGAATTCTTCAAGAATCGGTAAGGAAAGAACCCGAGTTTTAAAACGTTTCTCACATGACGTTTTTGTTTTTAATGCTCAATTAATTTAATTTATTTAATGCTCATCACAGGAAAGTAGGAGGACATGGTGTCCTGTTATGCAGAATGCACGTGCTTTGATCAGATTATTATCTTACTTTGGTGTGTCCGAGCTTAGATCAATAAATGTTTGAGAAACTTAAGTTCGGACATACATTCATGTGTGTGATATCTGAGGAAATATGACGTCCTCTTGAGATAAACAACGTTAGAAGTTTACAAAAGCTCAGTTGAGTCATGCTTTCTAGAGAACATGAATTTTTGTGCTGTGTCCGAGCTTTCATAACGGGACATCTAACTTTGACACCTTCGAGCACAAATGAAAAAATAAAGCTTCATATATTTAATCGCACACCCGAGTGTGCGGCATGCCTGCAAAGAAGTGATAGGATGTTGGAATGAAGGGATCATCGATCCGAAGGTGTTGAAAAGGGCATTAGGGCTTTATTTCGGGTGAGATGTCCTTGCGGTGAGCACGTCTGCTGGATACATTTATTCTACGAGTTGTACCTCAAATTCGGAGAGGGGATATGTCCTTGAAGTTGGATGTTTTACGAATTAAGCATGCAGAGAAATACTTGTCTATTGAATTCAACAATCAATGCCTGTCCGTTCTGCTTAAAAATAATTTCCGACTATATGACCCTAATGAATAATTATGACTGCAAAATTATGACCCCTTATGACTGCATACCAGAATATACCTAATTATTAATAGCATGGTTCCAAACTTTCGTCTCCCTGATTCCCTGGAGTGAAATGAGTGAAAAATATGTCCTTGGGGAGGAACCCTAAAATAAGCTTTCCCCCTGAAATATGCATCTCAGTAGGTACCGATTCACGTAGATTCAGCTTCTATCACTAGTAGCACATAACATTGAAACAATATTGACTCAATGTTCATTTAACATATGGATGTTGAAGGGACGGTAAATCTATGTTGCTTCTATGGTATTTACAAAAGGGAATGTCTCACCATGTCATTTGAGCAAATGAAAATAATGGAGATGCGTCTCTCCCAAAAACAGCACCAATCATCTGAGTTATTCGTGTAGGCCATGGTTTGGATGTTGAATTTTTAGTCGTGACCAAAAAAGTTTGCGAACCACTGGTGTAGACGTACCAAGTTCGAACGTTACATCTCATCAAAACATGGTTAGATTTGAAGTCTGATTCACTCAATCACAGCCAACCTATATTAGAAAATAGAGGAGAGATAAAATACTTTGCAAACGGGTTATCTAATTCATTTACATCAAAACGAAGTGTTTCAAGCCTCTGTGAGACTTTAAAACAAGGGTGTCCGAAAAAGGTGAAAGTGTCCTAGCATAAATCTTTGCTCACCTCTATTTGGACATTCAGATTATAGGCAACTTTGGTAGTCATGAGGGTAGGAAGGACAACATCTTTATAGCACTCAGACTTCTAGTGTCCCTCTCCGAAGAGTAAAAAATTAAGCTTCCAGCTTCTACCGTTGAAATGGGTGCCGCGGCCAGCTAAACTGCCTGAATGTTGGTTTTACCCTATCTAGTGTAATATAGGAAGAGATTATAATATAGGTGTACATTTATTTCCTTACATTTTTCTTCTAAAAATAATTAACTACTGCAGTGGAGGTGATTGACTATTGATAGAAGCCAAGGTCATTGGAGTCTTGCAACGTATCTGAAAGTTGTATGTACAATGTTGGGGCCGGACTTCTGTGACATCTTGTATACACGTATATCGGCATCGTGTTCTAGGGCAGGCTGGAAAGAAATATCTTATAATGTATTCTCAGGTTTTCTCGTCAGGTCACGGAATTTTCTCACCCAATTTCATTTATTTGGTTGCAGCTTATAATCCCATTTCGAGAATCAACCAAGGATTTTTCGCCAACTTGAAGAACATGGAGATATTTTATTGCCCATCCTGCAACCTCGGACCTACATTGCAGAGTGATTCTTTACGTTTTTCATCTCAAGATTTAAAAGAAGTTCAGCTGGAAAATAATTCCATCTCAATCCTGGAGCCGCGTGCAATCTCAGGTATAGTCTCCATGACTTTGCCACATTTAATACTATTGGAAGTCAATATTCGTTCTTCGCTAATTATTTCAGATTAATGTCGAATTGCGGAATATATCCCCAGTTATATACCAACGTTTTTCCTGACTTGATTCCAGGCTTAACAGTTAATACGAAACTGATTTTATCGAGAAACAAAATCGAGGAACTGACGGAGGAGGTCTTCCTTCCCATGTTTGAGGTCCTCTCGCAGGGGAATGGATCCATCGATCTTCGCGGTGAGTTTCGGATTGCCGACAATGCTGTTAGATACGGGCATTCAGGTATCATTATCGGTGTTTGTTTGTCTTCCAGAGAATCCCATTCGGTGTGACTGTAGTATGGCCTGGATAGTGCATAACCCGAGTTTCCTGGCTAGCGTATTGGGTGAATGCACAAATGGAACTGATTTGCAAGACCTGGATCCGACCTCATATGAAGAAATCTGCAATCACACGGGTCTACATTTGCAGCCTAATTCTTTGCTTGTAATTGTTGCTATCGCGTATGCATCATTGACATGCGACTCGGAATGATATATTCCGTCATCTGGTGAGAATGAGCGTTGCTTCATACTGACTCTAGAAGGACATTGTAGATCGGGCAACTCCACCTGTTTTAAAACAATGTCTTTAAATTTAATGAATCCTATGAAAAGAATAGAGAATGAACGTCATTCCGCAATTGACTGACCTCGACGCTCCATTCTTAGTGAAATTTTTTCAAGCATTACATTCATAAGCGTGGACTCCAAAGTGCCATGGACATCGAATGGAGGGATAATATATTTGAGCTCCACCAACCGCGCCAGTGCCTAGAAGGATCTCACTAGATCAACCAAGATTTGACTAGATGGGCGTAAGGAGACCTGGCTCGACTACAGTTCGTATCTCGGAACGCTAGAAGTATAAGAAACTAGCGAGTTTGTTTGCCCTTCGGGGAAACAATCTCGCTATGGTTGCGCCTTCGGCGCACCATTACCTTGGATAGTGATTAATTCATTTATTCCTTGCGAAATGGCAAACACGTATTTCAAGTACGTCCCCATTGAAATACGTGATATATGGGGACAAAAGCCTTACTTTTTATCAAAATCTTTACTTATGATTTCTATTGAGCCTAACTTGAAATTCTTTCTTGTGTCCCTTTTGTAAGGGTGGAGAATACATTTTGAAATACTTCCCTTTTTAGTCTACGCTAAGGGGACATATTTCAAAAGTAGGATTTTTCCTCTACTCAGCCATCAAGCACGCACTTCTGAGGGATGTTTAAATTTTCTGTTTCTGTTTCGTTGCATCAAAAACAAATTCAGGAAATGGGACTGAAAAAATGCCCTGATGGGTTTTAACGAAATTTTTTTTTCCTGAAATGTAGATTCATGGAACTCCATGCCACCAAATTTCAGCCTTATACGTTTCCCATTTTTTGTTGGCAGAAAAAATATTTTTGGAAAGGCGACCCACCGAAAAGCTGCGCTCTGAGGAGACGCACAACAATTGTTGAAATCAACATCACGGCTGTTATGCGTGCGCCAGGTACTTTCTATTTCTGCCCGATTCGGTAGGATATGACAAATTCTTTGGAAACGTTACGTCCCCAGGAAATATGAACCCCACAAATATTTTGGCAATTTATTTTTATTCTGAAATATAGACTCAGGGAACTCCATGCCGCCCAGTTTCAGCCTTATACGTTTCCCCTTTTTTTGCTGGCGGTAAAAAATAAATGTTTGGAAAAGCAACACACCCAAAAGCTGTGGTCTGGGGAGACGCTTAGCAAAATTTGAATTTTTCCTTTAGTCATCATCACGTTAGTTATGCTTGCGCTAGCTGCTATTTTTCTATTTCTGCCCGATTCTCTAAGATATTAAAAATTCTTTGAAAACGTTACGTCCCCAAGAAATATGTACCCCCAAAAGTATTTCGGAAATTTGACATTTGACATTTGAGCTGAGTGCTTCACCAGTCACGTTCTTGCCATGTTACAGCTTTTCGTGTGTCTCCATTTGATTGAAGCAAAGAGAACTATTTGAAAATATGTTCCCCGATGTGCCCCTATGGCTTGCATCACCAAATTGGAATTTTTCCTGGACTCAGCATGTGAATAGCTACTTATGTCAGTCAGTCAGCTACTCACGATCATCTATATATAATATGAAAGTAGAATTGTTTTTTACTCAGCTATTCCTCAGATACTTCTTTGCCAAGTTTAGACTTTCTACCACCCTACGTTTTGCTGGATCAGAAAATTCAGGAAATTTGCAAAATATGTGCCCTATGGCGTTTTAACCGAATAGTACCTTTTTTTTATCGAAATCAAACCTCAGTGAACTACATGCCCACCAAGTGTCAATCTTATACGTTTCCCCTTTTCGCTGGTGAAAAATCATGTTAGGAAAAGCCGACCCACCCAAAAGCTAAGCCCGGAGGAAAGGCACCATGAAAGCTGAATACTCCCTCAACTCAATAATATCACGTCACTTATACGTCTGCCAAGTTTCAGCTTTCAGTTCCATGTCCAATTCGCCACTACAATTTCTTTTTTTTTAAACATCGCCCGCTTGAGAAATTTTCCCACGGCGATGTATGAAGACAACATTTTTCTTTAACTCCTTATCTTGGTAGTCACATTCCTGCAAAGTTCCAGCTTTCCGTGTCCATCGGTTTAATTAATGCAAAAAAATTAACTGAAAAAATCTCC